TAACAGTTTAGTAATTTCTCCTATCCAAAACTATTTCTTTGAGGAAATAGTTGAAAAGAATTCTGAACTGCACTGTATAAATTAAGATTCCTGAACTTCCACCTCTGATTTCCAGCTCAGAGATACTCAACCTCCTGACTCAGGAGGTAAATAATAGTCCTGTGCTCATGACATCACAAGCACATAGCTTGGTGATGACGATGACAGGGTTGGGGGGCCAGGCGGGGACAAGCAGGATGGAGAAAAGCCAGTCCACGGATAGGACAGCTATGTGATTTTTTGTTTGTTTATTCTTAAATGGGGCTATTTCTCCTCATTCCTTTTTTTAATGATTTTGCTTATTTTTTTAGAGAGAAGGGAAGGGAGGGAAAAAGAAAGGGAGAGTAACATCAGTGTGAGAGAGAAACATCTATTGACTGCCTCCCTTCCACGTCCCCAACCAAACCTGAAACCCAGGCACATGCCCTGATGGAATCGACCCCTTGCCCTGTGGAACGACACCCACCAACCGAGCCACACCAGTCAGGGCTGGCCTGCCTTTCTTTCTTTCCTTTTTAATTAGCCATATTTTCTTCAAAAGAAAAAATCTGACAGATTTTCAGTGGAGCTGACATCTGGAAGAGGTTCTACAAAGCCCAAATCTTTTCAAAAAGCCACCTTAATCTTCAATTAAAAAAAACAAAAAAACAAAAAACCTTCAACAATGCAACAGATCACAATAATATTCCTCCAAATACTGTGAATGGAGACTCATTCTGTCTGCAACAGATGTATCACCTACCAATCGCGCTTGGGCAAAAGGCAGACAGCCCGAGAGGCCACACTGGACCCACACAGACTTTGAAAACAAATTGTTCTTCATTAACATGCATGGTCTAGTCTTTATTGTCCACAAACGGATTAATCATTTTATGGATTTCTGAAGCAAAATTTTTAATCCAAGATCAACTGTTCTTAGCCATCAGTACACTGTCTTCACCATCAGGTAATACAGGCTTAGAAAAGCAAATTCATTTCAACATCAGTATGATCCCCAAAACACGAAAACAAAGCTGATTTTAAAAATAATGCACTTCACCCTGCCCAGTGTGGCTCAGTTGGTCAGAGCGTCATCCTATAAACCAGAAGGTCACACACGCAAGTCTGACTCCTGGTCAGGGCACATGCCTGGGCTGCAGGTTTGCTCCCCAGCTGGGGCGTGTGCAAGAGGCAACTGACTGCTGTTTCTCATATCAATGTTTCTCTCCCCCCCTCTCAAATCAGTAAGCATGCCCTTGGGTGAGGCTTCAAAAATAATGATAATGCATTCAAGCCAAGAAACTTCTTTATTAAGTTCTGAATCATCTATACTAGTTCTCCCTACAATAGCAGAGAAAGTTAGATGGACTTAAAACATGATACAGCCCACACCATAAGCTCTTGAGGAGAATCCAAACATAGTCTTGAGACTTTCCCACAGGTCGGTACAATGTGAGACGGGCACAAGCAGAGCTCAGCATAGTGAGTGAGGTGTGTGAATACAAAAACTTATACAGGAATCTTCTGTCTTCTGGCTGATCCCTTTAAGCCAGGATGGTCCAGAAAAGAAGAGTCAGAAAAGAAGAAGAGTCACAATGTACCGGTGCCTGCCTGACTCCTTGTCCCTGAGTTCCTGGACCAGAAGGCTCAATACTTCTCATTAAATCCATCCTTTGTTCAAGGGCCTACAATGACTCTATTGACCCTTCTTCCCCCAACACACAACAGAGTCAGGCTACTGAGTCCCCTCCACCCTCTTGCTTGCTCTACCCATGACCTGACCAGCCCACATTCTTCCAATCACTCTCACTCATTCCCCCGACAAACACAACTCAGTCATTCATGCCAGTAGTGCACACTGCAAATTCTATCCTTTCTGCCTGGAAGATCTTTTCTTTTATTCCTAACATTTCCTTGAATGCTCGCACACATTTTATAGATAAGGATGAAGAAGTAAACTGCCCAAGGTCTCATAGTATAAACCCTAAACAAAACCTGAACGAAGTTCCATCTAACTCCATTGATAGCCCATGCCTCTTTATGACTCTATAATACATTGCCTCCCAAATCCACTTCAAATTTTACAATTCACAAATATTCCCTAATTCACCTCATTGTTACTTGGAGTTTACTAAACTTTACATACTACACTTGTAGCACATTAAATTTGGTTTTGTTTCTATGTTTCCTATATGGTAAAGCTTATAACAGTCTGCCTTCCCATTTACTATATGCCACCTTCCCCAACCCCACCCCATCCCAAGGACAAAAACACCTATCTTTATACCCTTGGATCTTCCCAAAGCCTGTCACTGGGGCTTGGAGTCTGTTTTAACCACAGGAGTATTTAATCATTATTCAGCAAGGACTTCTTACTTAAAAAAAAAAAAAAGCAGCAACTCCTTTCTTCTATCATATTAAAAACTCATCTGAGTTCAGACATTCATGATAAAACTGCCCTACATCTACAGTACATTCCAGTTACACAGATTCTAACTGTCTAAATTCATCAGGGGCTGTTGAGAAGATTCCAATCAGCCAGAGTAACAATATCTAAATAGAGTTGTTCCATCATAACTGGCTAGGTGACACAAACTGAATTCTCACACAAAGCCTTCAGTGAAGTGGGAATGGTGGCGGGCTTTTTGGTTTGCTCTATATTTAATCCTAGGTACCGGTATATTCAACCCCTTCAATCCTCACCCCCCTCCCCATGGAATAATATATGTAGTTCAAGTAGGGGAAGTTGTTCAGTACAGCTATAAATAGAATTTACCAGGTGTCACTGATATTGACACTAACCAACTCACAACCTGAAAGAATGACTGACTGTCAGCAGACTCTGGAAGGGTGTGTGTGGTTTTTAAAAATTAGATTTTACCCTCCAAATTAAATTTTTTCAGTAGGTGTCCCAAAAGATTAAAGAAATAAAGGTTCAGGAAAATTTCCAAGTCACAGGTGACACAACTCTACCAAGTCCAACTAACAATTAATATCCATTACTGGTCAGCCTGCCTTATACAAGTCAGCAGACAGCCCTTCCTTCGGCAAAGGCTTACTGTCCGCCCCCACGCCCCAGCAAGGGAGCCTGTGGCATTAAATGAAAGTGGTAAGTCAAATCACGCAACACCACCAAAAAAATGAGTAATATTTTGAGATCTACCTTCCATCTTTCCTTCCTGCTTGAACACGAAATGTCCAAAGTGGATATCTGTTCAATTCTAAATTATTCATGTTAATGGATAATTATCAGCAAAAAGGTGCTGATGACCCAAAATGGGAAAAAAGGTTTTTCTTAAATAACCTATTTCAGTTTTTGGAATATCTTTTCAGCCTATTTACTGTCTCAATTATTCCTAGCATGAGCTAATATTTGTATTCATTTGCAATCCCTAACTACATAGTAACTGGCCACTTACTCAGGGAGGTGCTCTGAGGCACCCGGGGTAGCTAGTGGAAATTATAACAGAAAATTGTAGCAGACTGGTATTCAGACTCCAGACGAGCAACATCAACTTCATTTATTTTACAGTTTGATTCGGCCTTCAAAATATAGACAAGTGCGGCAGGATGGTTACTAAAGTTTAAAAGAACTGCTCAAAAAACAACGGAGGACAAAGAGTATAATTGTTTGCCTATAATGTATTCATTTGTAAATTATGCAAAGCAAACGTTTAATTACAAGTCTGATTCTCCCTAGCCACCTGGCTTACGTCCCCGCAGTCTTCCCCACCCCATCGAGAATGCAATCTCGCTTACTAGGAAGGAAATGTTAAAGTTATATAATATAGAAAACTGTTTTTAAAGGATTTAGGATTGACTACAGCTTTGGACTAGCCTTACCACCACTTCTGCGGTCCACTCTGTCCTCTCCTACTTTAGAAATAGGTTCTGAAAGACAAAGGGATCCAGCCTCCTCAAAGATCTCCCAAATATACAGCATGAAAAATTACCAGCTTCTGATTTTCTAAAAAGCATTTAAAATACGTACTTATAAACACATAATAAATAAGAGTCAAAGTCCCGCTAATTCTTGCTTTTGCATTCATGAAAACTCCTTAAGACTCTGGAGAGAATCTCTTACATAAAATTTCACCAGTCAGCTTCTTTCAACTTAACATGTATGTCTTGTACCCAGAGAAGCCACCTACGTTCGACTGTCGACCTAGACAGAGAGGGAGGGGGAGGAGGGAAGGAGAGAGAGAGAGAAAGTGGAAAAGACAGAAAGAGGGAGGGAGGGAGAGACGCACAGCGCTCGCCGGTCCTTGCGAGCCGACGAGCTAAAAATACGCCAACCCAGTAAACAAATCCCATTCCATCCCGACCGGAGCCACACCGTTAACCTAGTAATTATGAGAAGAGGAGTTAGATCACGCAGCCCCCGGCTTACTCATCATCAGCTTCTAAAGTTTCCATCGGCTCATGGCAACTTTGCTTTTCTCTTAAGTTCATAAACCCGCCCTAGAAACTCCTTCTCTCCCGCACACACTCTCAACACACTTTTTCCGCTCCCTTCCTCCATTACTGGGCACACCTCAGTGTGGCTATCGCTAGGCAGAACAAGCTTGTTGTCTTTTCATTTGGTTTTTATACTGGGGCTTTACAATGAACTTTATCCTACTGTGGGGTAGTAGCCTGAACTCCTAAACACCTTAAAACTCCACCATCCCTCCCCGAAAGTCTAACTGACAAGGTGATGGGGAGGGGGGGACTGTCCAAACTGCCCAGCACACTTCGGAGGCCAGGAATGGGGGAAGTGGGGTAGGCAACGCGGGACGCAGGTGAAAGAGAAGTAACAGGGGAAAGGTTGGGACGAAGCGAGGAACAGTCAGGGCAAGGAGAGGGTGCCGAGAAACGATGGCTCCGGGTGAAATATAATCAGAAAATAGGAGGAGGACAGTGGAGATCAGAGGGTCAGAGTTTGGGAGACTGGAGGGGCGGGAGCAGACGGGGGAGGGTGACAGGACGGGGGGCTCCTTTACCCTCGCGGCTCCCGGGGCAAGGCCCTAGGCCGGGGCGGAGCGCGGGGCCCGGCCGCCTCTCCTCATTCCTCTGCTGTGACCCCGGGGTCCGGCCGGCCCCTCCCCCGACGACGGCGGAGGCGGTGGCGGAGCCTGCGACCGCGGCTGTTGCTCCGCACAGGATCAGGAGCTGGAGCCAGACGGGACTGATCCGGACTGGCCTCCCCCAGTGGCTTTTTGCCTACTCCACACCCGGTCGCAGCTCTGACTCCGGTGGCTGGTTCAGGATCGGTGGTTTTCGGCCGTCCGGCCGGAAACAAGCGCACGTTTCCGGCCGGAGCCGGTTGGTGGTGACACCCAAGCCGCCCCCGGGCCTCCTCCCGCCCCGCCCCTCCCCGTAGCAGCCCCGCCCCTCCCCGTAGCAGCCCCGCCCTTAGCGCCGCTCTCCCTAGCTGCGGCGGGTTTGGCGCTTGCCCCGCGCATGACCTGCTGTTTTCCTGGCCCGTGTTGCTAAAGCCCCTGGCGTGGAGAGTTCTTGAACCAGAGCTGGAGGGGGTCAGGGTGAACTTCTGAGACTTTGTGGTAGAATCAGTTGGCTAGAGCACTTTGGGAAGAAACCGAAAGAAGCGGGGTGGTAGTTCTAGAAAGGTGAGAGGCATGAAATACTCTGGAATGAGAAGACTGAAATTCTAGAGTCTAGAATAAGAAGACTCAAGATCATTCTAGACTGACCAGAGGAAAACTAACAATGCTTCGTACAGAACAGTCTTCAGCCAGTTATGCGCTCTCTTTTCTTCACTCATGAAGTAAACATACCTTTCCCTGTTAACACCCAGTACTTATTAATTTGCATAATGATGATGCCTTATTGACACAGCTGCCTTAGACTGTGTGTAAGAACTGTTTTTGATAATGTCTTGTAACAGCTTTACAACATAATTCAATTCAAGCAATATTGAGTCCCTCATTTGTGCAAGGCATTCTGCTCATTAATACTGAGGACACAAAAACGAACAAGACATAGTTTCAGGCATCAGGGATCTTACACTTAAGTAAAATACATAAAACTCTATTACATAAGGCAGAACTCGTAGGTACTATGTGAGTTACAATGAGCTATGGCTATGAGAACATAAGCTTGCATTTTACAGAGCAGACCTTCCATATTTTTTGAATGAATAAATATTTGGGGAATGTGAATTGTTTCAAGTAAGAAGTGCCATTTAATAAATACCTGTTAGGACAAACATAAAATGGGGCCAGTTCCTGCTATCATCTGACCAAGAAAATCCTTCATTCAGATTACTGACATTGTGGCCCTTCGTCTGCACATTCAAAATGTTTATTTCCAAATTGTTCCTGTTAGTTCTATTTAAAAACAAATATTACAGTCAACTTATATACCCCCCATACTTTCTGAAGTCATCAGTTTGTAAACATTTTGAGAATAGACATGTAGAATTATCCAGCTCAAGACTAGACAATTGACACCTGAAATAGGAAACTCCTTAGATAGCTATACCTCTTGGGGATACCCTGGGTTTTGAGTTGAAGATTTAGACCTGGGCCTAGCGCCATACCAAAGCCTGAGCTGCAAGCATGCAGGGACTACAAATTTTAGTTACAGTTCAGTGGCTAATTGGAGGAGGAGAGCATGATGAGACTTGGTCACTTAAGTTGATTCTAACTGAAATCCATTAATCACATCTCCCCTTGCTAAATAAGTCTGCGTTAGGAGGACAGATCCACAGATGAGGAGCCTCAAAAAGCTAAAGCTGTCTTGTTTCACCAAGACCCTCCCAGGCCCAGTGTATGCCCATCTGTTAACTATGTCTTTCTAGTCTTAACTACTGCAGGCTTATTACTGCAGGACCACGTATGGAGTTCAAAGGCATTCTCTACCCTTAGATACAAGGCAGACTTTTACTTTTGGCAGTGACCACAAAAAGTTTCCAAATTTGAAAGCTGGGCCAACTTGCTGGTGAAACTCATTTAAGTGACCACACTTTACAGGCTTGCCTGGAAATTTAGGGGCCAGGAAGTGATGGGGTTGCAGTTGCTTTGTGCCTATTTCTGCTCTGACCATCCATCACTCATTGTTGTTTGTGCAATTGCTCAATGGACTGCTTGTTTGGGGTCAGCCCGGGCTGTGTGGGTAGCAGTGTGGTCAGCCAGGCTGGGAGCCAGGCCACCTGGGTTTTGGTCCCAGCTCAGCCAGTCCCTAATCCATTAAGAGACTCCCTTCCTATTCCTCTGTCAGTTTTTCTGCCTAGAAACTGGGGACCTCTTCTCTAGTGATATGCAGCCATTCAGGTTGTTACTATGCTGAATGCTCAGAAGAGCTGTGATGTCATCCTTGGCAGCCAGAGCACAGCTGATTTTTCCCCCTGCTGCCAGGTAGAAGAATAGTGAGGAAAGAAAGTAAAAGCAACAGAGAAAATTCTACCAGTGTACTCAGGGCCACATCTGCCATTCAGTGCAAAGTTCTCTTCCACCCAGGAGGCCTGTTTTTATTTACTCACTTTAGCAATTCTAAGGGCTGCAGCAAGGAGCTCCCCAAGCTTTCACACAAGAGCAGAAAAAAAACAGCTTTTCGTTTCACGGAAGAAACTAAAAGGAGAGATTATTTCAACACGGGGGCTGATGGATAGAATGGGGAAAATGTTCAGAGAAAGCTATTTTTGCAGCTAAACAGGAAAAAAATAGCAATTGTTTGCATTTATATGCTTTTGTGGTGGAAAAGAAAACCAAACCAAAATAACTTTCTTTCCACTACCACCACTATAATTTAGACCAGTGGTTCTGTGGAGTTTCAAAAACTACATACTGTATGTGCCTAGGAACCTCAGACTCACTAACTCAAAATTCTTAGGATTGAGGACCATCAGTCTCTCTATTTTTAAAATACCTATGGTTCTTTTTTTATTAGTTATAATTGAAACATGACATTGTATTTATTTCAGGTGTGCAACATAGTGATTCAATATTTGTAGACACGGTGAAATGATCATAAATCTAGTTATCATCTGTCACCATAGTCACAAAAAGTTTTATTCTTGTGATGGGAACTTTTAAGATTTTACTCTCTTAGCAACTCTCAAATATTCAATACAGTAGTATTAATTATAGCAGTGCCATACAGAACACTCCCATGACTTATTTACAACTGTAAGTCTGTACCTTTTGACTCCCTTCACCCATTTCACACTCCCACCTCACCCCCTTCTCTGGAAACCACCAACCTGTCCTCTGTATCAACGAGCTTTTTTGTTTGTTTTTGATTAGTTCATTTTGTCTTTTAGGTTCCACATACAAGGAGAGGACCCCATAAAACAGAACTTATTTATTAAAAAATCATGTATTTATTCTTACATGTTTAAACTTCAGGCATAGGTACCTTCAGACACCTTCAAAGTACTCTCCATTTGAGGAAATACACCTGTCAAGATGTTTTTTCCACTGCTCAAGATAGTTTTTGAGCTTGTCAATTTTGATGACAAATTCATCTTCTGCTGTTTTTTGTTTCACCTCTTCCACATCAGCAAAATGTTTCCCTTTGAGGACTTTTTTCATCTGTGCTAACAACAACAAAAAAGTCGCTCAGGGCAAGATCAGGTGAATAGGGAGAGTGGGGCACAGGGGTCACACCGTTCTTGGTCCAAAACTGCTGAACATTCAGTGCGGTGTGGGCAGGTGCGCTCGTAAATCACCTATCATGAAATGGTGAGTCTTCAAAAAGAATTCACTGAAGCCAAACGCTGCCTCTGGCAACAACGCCAGCTGGTACACTGATACAGATAGGTTCCTAGAACACTCACCTCACTGGGGAAGCCTGTACTATAACAGGCCCACCCTCCAGAAGATTATTCCGGGTTTTGGAAGGTCTCCCTTTGTATAAGTGAGGTATGGCATTTGTCTTTCTCTGTTTGATTTGTTTCACTTAGCAGAGTACCCCCAATGTTGTCTATCCATGTTGTCACAAATGGCAAAATTCCATTCTTTTTAATGGTTGAGAAATATTACATATATATTTATATATTTATATGATAAATAGGAATCTATGTATATTTTCAAAATTCTAATATTTATATAGTATATAAATATATAAGAATATATATTTTAATATAAGAATATATATTTATATTTTTTTCTTTATCCATTCATCCATCACTTAAGTTATTTCCATATCTTGGCTATTGTAAATGATGTTGCAATGAACACAGGGTACATATCTTTTTAAATTAGTGTTCTTATTTTCATCAAATATTCAGCAGTGGAATTGCTGGATCATATGGTAGTTCTATTTTTAATTTTTTGAGTAACCTCCATACTGTTTTCCATAGTAGCTGCAACAATTTACATCTCCACCAGCAATGCATGAATGGCCCCTTTTCTCCAAATCCTCACCAGCACTTGTTATTTCTTGTTTTTTTAGTGACAGCCATTCTAACAGATGTGAGATGATATGTCAGTGTGGTTTTGATTTGCATTTCCCTGATGACTAGTGATGTTGAGCATTCTTTCATGTGCCTGTTGGCCATCTGTATGTCTTCTTTGGAAAAATGTTTATTCAGGTCCTCTGCCCATTTTTTAATCAAATTATTTGGGGGGTTTTGCTATTGAGTTACATGAATTCTTTATATATTTTGGATATTAACCCCTTATTAGACATAAGATTTGAAAATATTTTCTTCTACTCAGAAGGTTGCCTTTTCATTTTGTTGACAATTCCCCCTGCTGTGCAGAAGCTGTTTAGTTTGATGCATTCTTACTTGTTTTTTTAATTTTTTTTCTTTTGTTGCCTTTGCTTTTGGAATGAGATCCAAAAAATCATTGCCACGACTGATATCAAAGAGTTTACCATCTATGTTTTCTCCTAGGAACTTTATGTTACAGGTTTTATTCTCAAGTCTTTAATCCATTTCTAGTTAATTTTTGTTAATGGTGAAGATAGTAGTCTAGTTTTACTCTTTTTCATGGGCTATCCAGTTTTCCCAGTATCATTTACTGAGGAGACTGTCCTTTCACCATTGTATATTCTTGCTTTCTTAGTCACAAATTAGCCATTTAATCATGGATTTATTTCTGGTCTCTGTTTTCTGTTCCATTGATCTGTGTGTCTGTTTGTGTGCCGATACCATGCTGTTTTGATTATTATAGCTTTGCAATATAGTTTGAATCAGGGACAATGATGCCTCCAGCTTTGTTCCTCCTTCTTGAGATTTCTCTGGCTATTTGGCATCTTTTGTGATTCCATACAAATTTTATGGTTGTTTGTTCTATTTCTGTGAAAAATGTCATTAGAATTTTGATAGGGATTGTATT